ATAAGTACACGATATTGAATTTACTTGATCTATATGGTTGATTATAACTGTAGTTTAAGACATGAAAAATTTTAGACACTAGATAGCAAGTCCTACTGATGTTAGATGCAGAGTTTCATGTCTATAACATTATTTTCTTCTTAGATGCTCAGTAGAATAATTTATTTTCAGAATCATCCTGACACATTCTGACATTTAAGTGGTTTGATTTTATATGATGTATTATCCTTTAAGAAAAAAAAAACAGGACAAATGCCAAATGCCTGTATCAACTTCAGTATTTATAGCACAGAATTATTAATTAAATTTAGTTCTTCATTTGAAAAACAAGTTTGCTGGACTGTACCAGTTGGAGTGTGGATTAATTTAATGTAGTTTGAAATGTAGGAATTACTAAATCCAGTTAACTTTTTATTATGCTATTTCTATTTCTTGAGGCATACACCCCTGTTTAGAGATTTTTCTCTCTGGGCTAAGAAGATTTCAGTTCTTTTTAATTTCGTCTTCTTGGGCATGTTGCAAATATTCTACGAGGCTATGCTTTTCAGGTCTATCTATTGTGGTAGAGCCAATTCTTCATTTTCTCGGCTCCTCACCTGTTTTTGTCTATTTATTTGTGTATACGATGTCAAAGGAAAATGAAAAGTAACACCTCAAAATACCACCTTGAAAAGGAAAATGCCAACAAATTCTTTTCTGCACCTGAAGCTTTTAATTCTTTAATCCACCATGGAATGTTGCTTAATTACATATTTTATTATGCATAACTGAAAATTATGTACTTTAGTTTCAACAATGATATGAAAGCATGTATTGTTTATAAATAAAGAGAGACTGGTTTGTCTCTATTTTTTTATATTACAAATATTTGTGGAATTCTCACATGTTCTCCTTCTAAAACTTGCCTTTTTGAAAATGCTCAGAGAGCTCTGAGAAAAACTTCAAGTTTTAATGTTTTCTCTAGAAATCAGAAAATTCATTTCTTAAAAAAAAAGATGATGTCATAACATTATGGATAAAAACCATTGAATAGTTTAAATATTTTTGTCGAAATTTTATCTTAATGAGTTTCATGCAAGTATTTATTGATGGAAAAATGAAAATTGTTGAATTAGGTGATAAATCCATGGGAGTTCCTTGTCTCTACTTTTCTGTGTGTGTTTGAAATTTTCCACAATAGAGTTTGTTTTTTTAAAAAACATTTGGTGTGTATAGGTCTTTGGAGATTACTATTTCATGATGATATTCCATACACTTGATTTCAATTACTTAGTGATCAAAGTCTTCATATTAGCAAAATATGCATTACAATGTATTTCTGAAAATTTTGAATTGCCATTAGGGTTTTTTTGGTGTGCATTTTCTGCATTTGAAAAAGCTTTTGTTAGGGAGAAGAGAGAGAAATGTGAAAATAGACGTGAGTTTGAGACAAATGTGGCCACTTAACAGCTGAACAAATCGGTTAACCTATTTGAGTTTCCCTTCCCTTGTCTTTGAAGTGAGAATGTCAGTGCCTGCCTTAAATACCTCATAGTGGAATGGAGAGGTTTAAACAAGATATTTTTGTGGCAGTGCCTAATAAAATGAAGCATTCTACAAATGTTTTTTCTAAATTTAAAACGTGTGAGGATACTAGGAAGGGGGACTCAGAAGGAGGAAGCCTTTGTACTAGATCTAGCAAAACAAATGTTTGCAAATCCTCTTTGCAAATAAAGGTGGACTAGATTAAGCCTGTCCCCACGTTAAGATGCCATTCAACAGGTTTATGCCCTGGACAAATTCTCATTTTGCATGACATTGCCACAGGCTAACGAATAAACATAAATATTTGAATATTTTCAACATTCCCATCTAACAGGTATTGTTGGTTCTCCTGTGAAAGGAAAATCAGAGTAGCACATGGGACATCATTTTATCAGATGGGGGTGGTAGTGGAAGGGCATGCATTGAAGTGTCACTGTAATGAAAATTTTGTATTTGAGTACCGCAAAAAGCAAATATTTCTGATTCAACTCACAGCAAATAATGTTCAACATTTACCTTGTTGCAAAATATCTCTTTGGAGTTTCTTTACAAGTGTTTACTTTGCATAACATACGGCTCTACTGCATTCACTCATCAACCACTATCATAGAGAACAGGGCCCAGGTCAAGTGCTTTGATCACAGTCATTGTATTAGCAGCTGAAAATAATTGTTGGGAAAAGGTAACCACACAACCTTGGTACAAGACAGGAAGCTGTAATTGAATTCTGGTAGTGTTCTTTTGATAGGATTAAATTTGGAGATATATGCTTCCTATAAGCAGGGTAACATAAGAAAGTCTTAAAAATGTTGCTCATCTTTTAAACAATAATTTCAAACTATTTTTATTTAACATTTGGTATTGTCAAACAGGTATAGTATTCAGGACATACACCTTCTACCACAATCTCTTTAATTAGGGTACTTTATAGTTTATCAAAAATGTGCATATTAATAGATTGTAATTTAGCCTTTGTCAAAAGACATGCAAGTATTTAGTATTTACATTAAAAGGATTGCCTCAGAAGAAACATTGAATTCATAAGCCCTCTTAAAAAGTAAAAAATATGTATGAGGAAGATTAGTATTGATATTTTCTGATATTTTTAGATGTGATTAATAGTTTGGACCTCCATTGGTTTCCACACTATCATGCAAATTTCCAACTTGCTTTGACACAACAGTTCTATCAGCTGTATTATAGGGAATACACATTTTAATTGCTCTTTTTGAAAATATCACCAGGCAGTTCAGAATGTCTCATTTATTGAGAATATTGTGACAATCAAAGACCTTAATATCAGCCAGATGCTAACAATTGGGAATAGGGCAGAATTTAATAATGGAATGTATGGGATTCTCATTTGTACTCAATCTTGAACCATTTGAGAATGTTTTCTATTCAAGCTAGTATTTTTAGATAAACATAGATATAGATATCACTACTTTGAAAAAAACACTTATTTTAAACTCAGAAGTTCTTAGTACTAAGTGCTAACCAATACACATTTTATACATAATATGTACAGACTTTGTTACCGAGCACCACACAACTAGGGCATACATATTAGTTACCTTGGTTTTTCAAAGGTTATGTATCAACTCTGCAGTTGTGTGGCAAGGAGATACTATCAACATTATTTTTTTTTGCATAATGTGCAAGTATTATATGGCCACAGAGTGTAATACAAATTAGTGGCAAAGTGCTGAGTGAAGGGAATCCATGACAGATTCAGATGCACAAGGTTGAATATTACCCGTAAACTACCTGACTCTGCTAAGGTCTTAACAGCACAAAACGCTATGTCATGCCCAGCTTTTAAAAGTCTCTGAAATACATGGACACAATGAAGCTTGTTACAGGAATTTTACCATAGCCACAGGTAACAAAAGGAGGACTGGCATGAGCAATAAATGACATTGGGGAGCAATATGGAAGATCATCTGGGCAAGTCTTTTCTAAAATGTGCCATCTTCCCTGAAATCAAATTTTGCTCACTCCATCCGGGCCATTATTGTTTATTAACATGTGCGTGTGCATGTACGTGTGTGTGTGTGTGTGTGTGTGTATGTGCATTGGGGGGGCACTTAAAATATCAAATTATCGAAACCATGGTGACCTTAAGAAAGTTAAAAAGTCTACGTGAGTATTCTGTTAGCATTGCTATGTTGATTACCAATAGACATTCATCATTTCACTGAAAACATTATTTCAAATAATTTAGATTAGCAATGGGAAAATTATTTGCAACCCAATTTCTGTTTCCAAAAATATTACTGAATTTCATACCTATTTGACACCTTGTGTTAGGGTTGGGCTGGTTAAAAATCCAGCCTTGTTCTTTAAACTTAGAGAATGTATAAGGAAGAGGAAGATAATTTAACTAATGGAATTCTAGTTTCTATAAATACATTAAACCTAGTTTTATTTTCTTAATTCAAATTCCTTTGGCTCAACTTATTAACTTTTCTGAACTCTAGTGAGCAAGAACGTTTGAGAGTTGTTTTCTTCATAAAAAGAAGTGGCAACTTTTCAGTACAACTTTAAGTTTGCAACTAACCAGCTGCCTTCAGAGTAGCTTAGCTGTGCTTCAAAAGTAAATGGAACTTTAAAGCTTCTTTGAGAGTTTTCAATGATTCCATTTTAGTTTCTAAAGTACAAGTTCAACATTAAAGCAGCCCAGCTGCCTACCAATAAGCTCTTCAGGGCCTGAGAAATGGTAGGCAGAAAGAGAAGGGGCAATTGCAGAATGGTATCTCAAGCAACCCAGATACCCTTACCAGCATCTAGGAAACAAAGTGAAGAGGCAAATAAAAATCACGCAAAACTAATGCTGGCCTCAGTCCTTTCTGTGACCATTAGCACACCTCATTTTATATTCTGGTATTTTACTAAGTTTAATGTTGCAAGAACTTTGAAGATTGTGTTTAAATACCAGGTGTGTTATTCCTATTTTCTTCATGTAGCTCTTATAGTTATGACATATACAATCAAATGAGCTGTTATTAACTTATTCCAAAAACTTGTTAAAAAAAAAAGCTTACTAAGTGGTTTTTATACAGAAGGTCCATTTTCCCCCTACTTATTAATGGACTTTAAAAAATATTTGTACATTAGCTTAAGGAAAAGTGTTGCTATAATTGAAGTATTGTGAAATAAGCACAGACGAATCCACTCTAAGAACATAACTGCTAGAGACTGGATTTATGTTTTTGTTGGAGAGTCTTTTGACCATCCTATCTCTATTTATTAAGCAAAATGTTAACCAAAACAGGTTATCTTCATTGTGAAATTTCACACCTATTTAAAAATGAGCATGTGTGTTTGATTTAAATTTACAGTGTTTCAAGTAACTTTTCAATTGCTCTTTTCAAAATCAGTTAAATAGCAAGAGTATTAACATGCACCTAAATGAGAGGGCCATCCTTTGACTCTTCTTTAAAGTTACTTCACATAAGCAGACAAACCCTACCATGTCATACCATACAAACAATTTTAATTGTGTAGTTACAGTCAATAACCACTCCTAGGCAGAACATTTCTGCATAAAGAAAATTGTGATACACTTATAAAAACAGCCAGCTGTAACAAAATAGCTGGTGTTTTCATAGCCATAAACTCATAAAAAAGAAATACACCTTTATACAGAAATTTTATACAGATGTAGCTTTAAAATTGATTGTAAACCAAAGGAAGACACATTGCAAACATCAATTATTTTCACATTAATTGCATAATTTTCTAAGGTGATCTATTAGTTTTATTTACCTAAGCTTATTTGCATGATAGTAAAAATTGCATACAACAATAAGAGTGAAGCTTATAGTATGAATTGCTTGGATAACATAGAGCACTTTTTATAGGCAACTGTGTAAAGCACATTTTCTCTATTTAAAACTTTTAAGACACTTTGTTTTACTGCCCATCAAAATACATTTATAAATAGAAAAGAATCAGTATGGTAACAAGAGAAGCAATATTACATTTAACGGAAACTTCCAAAAAATTAATTACAACATGATGCTGCAGGATCTACAAATAAATAATGAGGACTAAATTGTGTTTCACATTTTCTTTTCCTTTTTTTAAAAAAATCATGTAACAATGAGAATGAAAAAAAATTACAGTGAACTTTTATTTCCAAAATAAAAACAAATTTGAATTACGGCAGTGCCATATAATACAAGGCATTTGTTGGCATATGTCATCTTTAAACTGCATTCCACAGTCTATAGTTCTTTTGTAACATACAATAGAGTAACAAACTCTTTTTTTTTCTTTTTTTTTTTTAAATAAGGGGCGAGTTTCCAAAGATCAGTGTGGAGTGCTACAGAAATAATTATAGGAGAGAAAATCATAATCACAGAAGTTATAATGCTTGTTTGAGGCTCCAGAATAATAACTAAAAAAAAAAAAAAAATCACTGTTTCCATGCTTACGGGGTACACACTTTGGTGCATCCCGTGAACACAAATTTTAATACCAAACAATCCTTGATGCTTCACCTGGGGCTGCCAAGCAGTTTGTAAAACAGAGTAAAACATTTAGTGCAGTCTGTATTATCCTTTTCCAACTTTTCTGTTTGTGCAAGTTTTTGAAGATTCATTGGCCAAACAATGAACAACAAAGGTTTTCTGAGAGAGTACAAGGTGAACTTTTCAATTTATTAGTAGATACCAGTGGAATTGTTGAACGAAACGAATACTTTTATCTCAGTCTTTTAAATCAGCATTAATGTCTGTGTTTCCTTCCACTGACAGCTCTTCTTCTAGTTTTACTGAAAAAAGGGTGTTAGTATTTTTATCTTGGACACTCTCTTCCAAATCCTTCAGCAGCTCCTCTTCTTTATATTCTGCCACATCGACCTCTAAACCGGAATTGTCCTTCAGTTTGCCATGGTGCTTGAGATAGTACCGCTGGTTCTGAAAGAACTTGATGATGGTGTACTTGGGAAGGTCAAGCTGAGCGGACAGAGTCTGGATGGCCTCTTCGTCAGGGTACAGGCCTACGTCTTGTATGAAACTCTGGAGGATTCCCAGGGCTTCCACTGAAATTTTTGTTCGTGGCCGGGTCTTCTGCCGGTTCTCCTCATCTGACTCTGCTGGAGAGGCCACCGTGGGTTGCCGTGGGGGGAGCCGAGGGCCTGCCTGTGGCTGCTGTTGTGGCTGTGGAGGCTGCGGCGCCTGCTGCTGCTGTTGCTGCTGCTGCTGCTGCTGCTGCTGTTGTTGCTGCTGCAGAGAAACAAGGAAACAATCAGAGCTCTGCTATCGTGGAGATCCACACAAAGCCGCCTCGAATCAGGAAACGTGGTCACAATCCCACATACAGCTTCTTTGATAGGGACGAAGACTTAGAACAAAAAGGAAGGCCAGCTAAATGGCCCACAGCATTTAGAAAACAATCAAAAATGATATGAACTAGGAATGGATGAATTAACATGGCTATGCTCCCCAAATGAATAACATGGGGGGCTACTGCACTTACTTATCAGAAATCAGTGGAGGAAGTGAAAACTCAGTGCTCTGAAAATGGGAGCCATAAACTTCACTAGAAGGATACGCATCAAAGGCGAAGATGGCACATCAAATTATGATGTAAATAATTAACAAAGATTTAAAATGAAGATGGAGAGGCTAGGATTTCAAAGACATTTTAGAAAGGTGAGCTACGGAGCAGTGGGGAAAGAAATTTGTGTTCTGCTCCGTTTCACTGAATGGCCAGGAAGAACAGAAGATGAGCGTATGCTCTTATTCCATGTTATCTGTCATGAAAGCAAAGAATTTTTAAGATTCTCACATTTGCGCTTTTTCTATCAGACAGTTCCAATTTAATACACACTCAATTTCTTACCAAATTGCGCTGGGCTGACACTGCAAGTTTTTTTCTTACCTCAAAATAAAGGTTCAATCCCCCATACGACGGCTAGCGAATTGTTTTGTCTATAGTAAACTCAGATGTGATTAGGATTTAAATTTCGTGTATACAGACACTTTTTCATAATTACTATATGTGCTATAATTTCCATACACAATTATACATAAATATGTGACACATGCACATACTGTATTCTCGATATCCGTAATTCTTACGAGCAAAGCAAATCAACCTGAGTAAGTGGTACAATATTAGAATGCTATCATCTCTATGCATTTCCTTTTATACCTCTAAGAAGGAATTTTATTAAAAACAATTTACATTTTCAAATGAGTACTTTTTAAAATTACTTAACATACATTTTTCGCTTTTTTGTTTCTGCTAAACAGTAAGTTTTTCAGGCTTTCATGGTTATTTTAGTGCTTGAAATCCTAAAGGGAACCTCTCTGTCAACTTGTTTTAATACACACTTGAGAATTTTTTTATCCTGGTAAACAACTCTATTATTGTTTTTAGCTATACATATATATATGTCTGTACACACACACACACACACACACACACACATATATATATTTTTTTACAGAAATATAAAAAATAATGCAGGTGATTCAACAAAGGTAGAATTTTAGGACTCTGGAAGGCAATGGCATTTTACTTTAAAAGAGAAAGCTAAAATCATCCCCTTTAACAAATATAAGCTCTATAGCTCAAGTTCAATGACAACACGCTTCCTAAGCAATTGGGGACCTAAGAGCACTAATGACTACCTGATCCCAGAACTCTTCCATCTAAATTCACAGGAGAGTTCCTTTACAAGATGAATGGTGACAAGGCCCATAACATGACAAAGCACAAGGCTGCATCTGCTCGAACAGTGGGCTCTGGCCATGGCTATGCTATATATCCTTTGAAAATCCTGGGGGAGCAGGTCTTCATTTCACCCCCTCTCTGTGTCCCTTGCTGGCAGAGGTAACTGTGCCCGCTCACCTGAGGAGCAGCACCGAACCATGGTGCAGGGGTCGGCAGGCCTGGTAAGAAAACGCCTCTAGACTCTCCTTTCCCAAGGGTGGTGGGAGAGGGGCTCTAAAGGAAAGACAAACAGATATGACTCACCCCTAACCTACATTCTGTGAAGTGTGGGGAGACAGAGATTAAACACAAGGTGAAGGAAGGGCCAAGGACGATAAAGCAAGATTCCAAGTAAGCTTCCCTCCCCTCCTCTTTCTGGACAGAATCCAATGTACAAAATTCTGATTGTACAAACTTCTTTTACAGCAAGAGCAGTGGCTCTTTTCCTCGGGGGCACTGTGCTATTAATTAAAAAAAATAGGTGGTGTTTTAAATTGTGATTTTTTTTAAAAACACACACAAAAACTTTAAACTCTCAACACAAAACCCAATACCAACAAAGACACATTTGCCAAACAAGGAGTGTAAAAAGGGGGTTGTCGCTTTGGGGGTTGGGGGGTGAGGAAAGAGGAACGCAATACATATGTTGGAAAAAGTATGTTAATCTTTAGTTTATCCCGCTGAGCGAGAGGGCAGTGTATTGCTAAAAAGCCTATGCTTAGACTGGCAGGAGGAAGAGAAACACTAATTTCCCTGCTAAGTTTAAAGTTTTATTTACTTATTGCTATATTGAACTGAACAAGGTAAACGAACCTGAATCTGCTCTGCTGGAACATGGATAATGTGGGGCGGCCTGTCGCCATGGTGATGCACCGCATTGCTCTCCTGTTCGTAAATGGCATCCCGTTCTGGCTGAGGAAGACTGAGGAACCTTCGGATCATGGAGAGGTTCTCCCACAGGGTTCTGTTTTCTGGAGAAGGATCTTCCTTCCAGCGTAACAGCTCACATAACCATCCCTTAGAGACAAGGGCATAATAGGTTAGTTTGTGCCTATGGGGTGGGGAATGTCATTTTCCAAGAGTAGCTAAAAAGGAAAAACCTTATGAATTAACTTTTTCATAAGCTCAGAACACACTAATCTGCTTTAAAATTTGTTTTTAACTTGTTAAGAGGTTATCTGTGGCTGTCAAGGAGGCAAACTCTGTTTCTAATCAAAGTTAAGATTTGCATCTCACAGGAGGGACACATTTTTCAGACTCTGAAGGTGAGAGAGCATTTATCACAGATTTTGTAATACATGAAATAGGAGAAAAACAAAGTTGATATGCTTCACTCTTGTGCAACTTTCCTGTCTAATGAGCGGCTGGACATCTGAGGATACTGAACTGCTTAAGGGGTAGGACAGATTTTAGAAATAATTTTTTTAAAGGATTTCCTAAGCTTGTAATTTCTGGATTTGAAAGAAAACTGTGTATTTATGTGTGTGTGTGCATGTATGAAACAGAAAGGACATGTGCAATTCTACCAGCACGAATGGTGTCCAGTATAAGGCATGATGATTACAATGGGCATTAGAATAATTCGCTATGAACTCTTTAAAAAAAGACACTGGGCCTGCAGTGGCTAGTGGATGTAATCCCAGCACTTTGGGAGGCCGAGGTAGGTGGACCGCAAGGTTGAGAAGATCAAGACCATCCTGGCCAGCATGGTGAAACACTGTCCCTACTAAAAATACAAAAAAATTAGCTGGGCGTGGTGGTGCATGCCTGCAATCCCAGCTACTTAGGAGGCTGACACAAGAGAATTGCTTGAACCAGGGAGATGAAGGTTGCAGTGAGCCAAGATTGGGTCAAAAAAGAAAAATGAGACAATGGAGTCTATTTTTCTGCCTACTGCAGTGGGAGCATATGATTTGTCAGGCAAGAATTTAGTAAGTTTCTTGGGCTAAGAGAGAAGGAAATGTCCAGTGACTGCCAAAATCTGAACCTCTCGGATGTTTTCAAGGCCCGGTTTTTTACCCTGGGGTTATCTATCAAGAACTGAGTGGGCATCAGAATACATTTTCCAGTCATCTCAAGTCTTCACCTTGGCTGCCATGATGAACATTAAACAATGGAGTGAAGGGGAAGAGTGAGGGTGTCCGACCCAGACCCCCACCAACCAAGGCAGCCACCCCTCTGCTGTTCAGCTGCCTGCTATGCCTCTCACCTGCATTCTGCTCTGGAGAAATGTCTTGAAGCCATCTCTACACTTCTTCATTGACCTCCTCACCCCAGATGCCCAGTGACTGGCTGACCCAGTACAAAGCCCCTGGCCCTTTTTCTGAAAATGGACGACTTACTTTACCCTTCAATCTCCTCTCTAAAGACAGTTATCTGCATTCTTTCTGCTTCCTCACCCATCAACCTAGGGCTAGACTTTGCCTGAGACCACATTCTTACTGGACCTCCTGCTCTTCCCTCTCTCCTCCCTTCCTCCCAGGGCCCTCACCAAATCATGAGCACCTGACTCCCATCCTAGGCTCTGCTTTTAGGGAATTTGATCTAAGACAAAGACATTTCTTAAAAATTTTAAGTAAATTAGTTGGATGAAAAGGGAAGTACAGTTTTTTAAAAATTATTATGTAATTTTTAGATCTTGTCAAGGAGGGTTTTATTTTTTATGTTATCAGGGGTGAGGTTAGAGGATGGCATAATTTTCCTTCCCTTCTCAAACTGAAACCACTAGAAAGAAAAATTCTTCTTTGACTGCAGTGTATAGTGGAAAGAAACATGGCCTGTTCTCCCCAAAATGGCCTACTTGAAGAAAAGGTAGAAAACTGACATATAATCTTCCCAAGGCCTATCTGCTAACCAGCCCATGGTGACTGCTGCTGTATCTCATGACATCTACTAGTATTCCTACTCAACAGGTCTTTTAGTTAAGCAAATATATGCATGGGGATGGTCATGTAATCATGCACTCATTTGATGCCACTGAATGCAAAAATCAAGGTTAAGACAGCAGGCAGTAAACTGAAGATTTACCTGAAAGACTCTTAGCTAAATAAAACCTAAAAATCACTATGATTGCAGTATCACTGAACTTGCTTCTCTTCTAACCATGGCAATTCCATGTTTATTTCCAGAATACTTTAATATGACATATTTCAGCTCTATTTATGTGAATACATTAACTACAAAACTGTATGTGAGTGTTTGAAGTATCTGAGACCCACTTGCATATGGTGCCCTGGAGATGTTTACTTAGCTCTTACTGGTAAATATTTGCCATCTGAATTAAGCCATGAAAATATACATTTTTCTACAACTAAGCTATTCTTTATACTTTACTTTTAAATTTTGTTGCTGTGTATGTTTTAGATATGTATCTTCCTGTAGGCTTTAATATTAACTATGGGCGAGATTACTTTCCCTCTCCCCCTTGTCTGCCTCCTTTAGCCATCACAATTGACAGGACCCCTCCACCTGAACACAGCAAATCACACAGTTTTATATACCTTTCAAAAGAAGTTAGAGGTTCATAAAGAAAAGAGCAGATTTTTTTTTAACTCGGCTAGTATTCTACTATTGCAATAAATGCTAAACATTGAACATTTAAGAATTTTTTTTTTTAAGAAATAAATGCTTGTAACTAAAAATTGCTAAAAGTTAAATTAAGAATGAGTCATGTAAGAAAAGCTTCTTGGAGAGAGCTGAAAAACTCCAGTGATTTCTCACATCCTTTAGAAACTTTCTAAAGTAATGCAGAGATCAGTTAGCACTTGGATATATGTGAAAAAACATGTGGATCACAGATGTTCTTTGGAAAAGAAAATCATTAGTTCTTTTAAAATGGCTAATAATGATAGCTAATTCCTAAACAATCACACTCATGCTGGTTTAACAAATATTTCAGAAAAAGAGCCCTGACTCATTCAACAAATATTTTGCTCATATTGTCACTTCTGTGTCTCTATACTTACGAGATGGATCCTTATTTTTATTAATTGCCCATGACTAACATAACATTTCCAGTAGTTTGCTATTAACCTCTGCCCTTAAATAATACTTCTAATTCCTCATCTAAAAATAATTTGATGAATTATAAGTTGAAGCATGTCTCCGCTAGCCTTTCAAGAAACGCGATGATTTTAAGAGACTGAAATCAGATGCTTCTTAGAAAAATATTTAACGGTGCAGCTGGGAACTGTTAGCTGTACAAGGGTATTCCAAAAAAATTAAAAAGGGGGGGTTTGCTTCTCTTGATGTGCATCTCTCTTAAAAAATAATGGAAAACAGACATTTTGACACATTAGCTCTTTGTTGGTGTAGAAATAAATTGGCTCATTCCCAATTTATACTGGCAAAAATAACGTAATTTATTCCAATGCTATTTAAATACCTCGAATATTTTGACTACCTCAAATCCTATTGATTGTTACTCTATTAATAATGACAGTAATCTGATCTATGTTTTTGCAGAAAAACGAGTAAAGAAGCCAAATGCTTTCTAATTCTTCAATACCTTTTCCTAGGTCAGTTTTCCACAAGTGTTATAGTTAGAATAAATAAACGAGAAGAAAATGAATATGTCAAAATATTTTAATATCTGACAAAAGTGATTCCCCAAAGTATGTACTAGTTTTTAAGTGATAACTACATTTATGTTCGGGGTCGGGGGAGAGATGAAGAATGAAATGCAGTGCTTTGTTGCAAAAAACAAAAACAAAACATAATTAAGGTTTTTAAGAGAAGTCTCTGGGACTTGATATACATAAGGCCATAGGCAGGAATAGGAAACTGCTCTCTAAATTAAATTAGCTCACAACTGTTTTGAACACTAGAAAAGACAGGGGACTAACAACCTTAAAATAATGGACCAATCCATTCTCAGAAAATGAAAATGGTACAAGGAACAACCTACACTTTAAATGTAGTAAATTTGCCAAGCAACGTTACACTGCATATAAAGAGGGCAAAATATAAACAGTAGCCACATGTAAATAAATTAGTAAAACTTTCAGGATGTTACTACTTTTCAAACTGACAAAGTTTAATTTGACACCTTCTGTTCTAAACCCTTTGTTTCTATTCAAAATCACGCCTTGAGCTGTTGCGATCAATCACAGTGCTCCCCCTATTACTTAAAAAAACTGGCATGGACCCTGAATAAGCTGAAAATGCCATGCAGATGAATTCTGAGATAATATGTTCAAACCTGTTATATACAACACAAATCCTGTAAAGTTATGTATTGTAAACCTACATTTATTGAGAACTAAAAGTCTTAAATCCATCTGCCACAAAGGAAATACTGTTATGTACTTTATAGTAACCAAGAACCATCTGCAAATGTCTTGCTACCGTAAGCAAGAAAATGGTGCAAAAGATGCTAAACCTAAGACTGCATGAAATAAATAACACATTCTTTTTGACTGGTTTTGGTTAGGGATCTATTAAAGAAATGTAAGATTGGGGAAAAAAAAGGAAAAGAGAAAATGCAGAATAACTGCCAAATCAGTACTGCAAAAAAGCAAAACAAACTCAATGATAGCACAATGGCAATTTATTATGGTCCATGAAACACATGACTGTATGCTCATTTTAAAGGAAAAATTAGCAGTTCTAAACTCAATATTCTAATGATGTGCTTTACTGACAGAATCTTGTTGTACCACATTTAAATAAAAATCCTGGCACCTTCATCTCTCAGCTGCTAATTTCCAACCAAACTCAATCTCTGATTTCCACTCCACTCTTTTTAGAACATTTAATTCAAGTCAATTCGCTTCTAACATTTTAACAGATAAGGGGTGCACAATGATTTTAATTGAGTCAAGAAAGTAACCTCCTTTCATAAATGAATTTATTGTACTTTATAAAGCCTCACACGCATAAAAAGAGAAACCCTAACAAGGCCTGTTCTGTGACAAAGCTGGGAGTATGTAACGTAACTACTTTTCCAGGAGAAAACAGACTTTGGTATTCTCTGAGAAAAAAAGTCATTTAATGCAATATACATATATGTATATATT